GCCCAGCGGCTAAGACTCTGCACTTCCAATGCAGGGGCCCAGGTTCAATCCCTGGCTGGGGAACTAGATCCCACATGCAGCAACTGACTGTGAATGCTACAGATAAAAGACTTAAGCCAAATAAATAAATAAGTAAAAATAAATATTAAAAAAAGAAAAGCATTATGTCACCAGTTGAGAACAATATTTGTTTTAAAAAAATGCTTCAGTTCTCTGTTTATAAAGGTAACCCATACTTATCAAAATTAAAAAAAAATCACACAGTATGGGGACCTCCCTGGTGGTTCAGTAATTTAAGAATGCGCTTGGCTATGCAGCACACGTGGGCTCGTCCTGGCCAGAGAACTAAGATTCCACATTCCTCGGAGCAACTAAGCCCAAGCGTGGGAACTGTAGCGTTCACAGGCCACAATGAAAGATCCTGCGGGACGCAATGATGATCAGGAAGCAGACAAAAAATTAATGAATTAAAAAAAAAATCGCACAACATGTGCAGTACAAGGGCTGAAAACCACCCAGAGTGAAACACTGAAGTGGTGTGCTTTCTTTCTACTCAGCTGCAGAGAATGGGCGGGCTAAGCCTCGGTATTCCTTCCCTGGTGGCTTAGACAATAGAAAATCTGCCTGCAATGCAGAAAAACCGGGTTCAATCCCTGGTCGGGAAGATCCCAGATCCCGAGAAGCAAATGGCAACCCACTCCAGTGTTCTTGCCTGGAGAGTCCAGCGACAGAGGAGCCTGGCGGGCTACAGTCCATGGGGTTGCAAAGAGCCGGACACAAACTGCGTGACTAACATTTCCTTCCTTTAACATCAGATTGTGAAGCTGGGATCTTTTTCCATTTGCTGCCCGTGAGTTGAGAATTAACTGATTTGAATTCAGCTCCTCCTGTTGTGGTAGATTTGCTCCTGCATCATATGATTTCCAGTCGCTCAGAGCCTGGATGCAGGAAGAGGGAATGAGTGCCTTCCCAGAGTCATCTCTGCCAGGCTGAACGGACCCAGAGCGATGCAAAGAGAAAGGAGCTAAGTGAGTGCTGACACCAGTTTGTAAGAGATTTCAAGAAAAATTCTGTTAAGATACAGTGAGAGCTGGTCAATGGACCTCAATATCTGAGGAATGACTTAGGTTGTAATCATTATTGATCAGGAAGGAATTTTGCATAATTCTCTGTGCTTTCCTCATGCCTGCGCGCTAAGTCACTTCAGTTGTGTCTGACTCTTTGCGACCATAGGGACTGTAGCCCGCCAGGCTCCTCTCTTTGTCCAAGGGGATTCTCCAGGCAAGAATACTGGAGTGAGTTGCCATCCCCTCCTTCAGGGATCTTCCCGACCCAGCAATTGAACCATGTCTCTTATGTCTCCTGCATTGACAGGCAGGTTCTTTATTTACCACTAACACCACCAGTGATAGGTAAAGTTAGAGTTATTTGAATGCACTTAAAACAATTGTAATAATAGCAACATAGCCAAAAGAGATTGCTGGTTGGTTGTGACATATTTGTAAGACTCAATTAGAAATGCTTGAAATATACAACTATAAATGTAAGATTAAAGACCTCAATATCAAATTGAATTTATTATTTACATCTTTTGTTGCATCAAAGCAGTAGCAATTCCTAATACAGCATACAATAAGGTCATTATAATCACAAGTCTGTAATACATTTGTATTTTATAACTGTGGAAATTTCCAAACTGTGTATACAATTTATATGGATATAGCTACTATATTCATGTTTATAACATAAGCCAAATGAAAAGAAAGCAAAAATATTGTGAATGTGTTGACAGAAAAGGCTGTTTGAAATAATGTCATTGATAACCATCTAGCATGACAGCTAAATATATAGTAGGCAACATGACACATGATATTCATCATTCGAAGTACCAGAATTTAGGTTGAAAGAAACTTTTCTAAAACACATAGTATTCAACCTTAAACAGAGGGTTCTGAAGATACTTCTCTCTGAGATTAAACATGTTATAATCATCAATGATTATTCTTTGCTTCTGTCCTAAATTGTTCTAGAACACTAAGACTTTAGAAACCTTGAGGCTTCTGTTTTCTAATCATGATCATTTTTAATATCAAAGTTGTACTCATTGTATAAAAATTTAAAAATGCAATAAAATACAAAAAGCAAATAAAAATGACCCTCAATCTCACAGTTGAGAAAAAAATCATTAGCAGTTCAGAGACCTTTTGCACAATATGTGTTTCCTAGGACACCAGTCATTGGATTTAGGTCTCATCCTAGTCCAGCACAACACATCTTAGCTAATTACATCCGAAATGACTGTTTCCAAATAAGGTCACATTCGGAGGTTTTGTGTGGATGTAAATTTTAGGGGGGAGAGGGAATGCTATTCAATTCACTATATACCTAAGATAATGTATTTGCTTGTTATTTAAGTCACACAGTCATGTCTGACTCTTTGAGACCCTATGGACTATATAGTCCGCCAGGCTCCTCTGTCCATTGAATTCTCCAGGCTAGAATCCAGGAGTGGCTTGCCATTTCCTTCTGCAGGGGATCTTCCCAACACTGGGATCGAACCCAGGTCTCCTGGGTTGTAGGCAGGCGCTTTACCGTCTGAGGCACTAGGAAAGTCGTTGTCACATAGTATCTTAACTATTTACAGTCCTTTCTTTCCGAAGACTGAGCCCCTTGGGTCAATGCCCATGTCTTGCCTTTGTTTCTGTATCTTCAGCAACTAGCACAGATACTCAAAAAATATTTGTTGAACTGAATTGTTAGATCGTGATCTGGAAGTTTTCACAGTTCTTTGTTCAGATAGAAATAGCTAAATCAGGATGTCTAAAATAAGGAGAGTCTCTAAATGGGACCCTGAGTAAAGCTTATAGGATTTAATTCTAGAAGGTTGCATTTCCACTTTACATGTTTAGACGTGGTCTTTTTGCTCCAGTATTTTCCAGCTATATCTACTGAGACTGTTGTGAGTAACATCATCTAAATAGGCAGTGTGAAAGTAGCAAAAATAAGTATAATAATAATGATAATCTTAATGGAATAAAGACATAAAAGTATTATGATCAGAATAAGACTTGCAGCTGTCAAAAACTTTAATTTCAAATGGTTTCTGTTGAAATCACTGGCTGTACTGGAAGTTGTGTGTGTGTGTGTGTGTGTGTGTGTGTGTACACGCATGCAAGCACACTCAGTTGTTTCTGATTCTTTGTGACCCCATGGACTGTACCTCACCAGTCTCCTCTGTCCATGGATTCTCCAGGCAAGAATACTGGAGTGGGTTGCCATTTCCTATTTAAAGGGATCTTCCCCACCCAGGGATCGAACCTATGTCTTTTGCCTCTCCTAACATTAGCAGGCAGGTTCTTTACCAGCTGAGCCACTTAATATAGCACCAGATTTATGTAATTTGTAGATTTTGAAATATCCCTATTCAGAATTCGAATATGGAAAACCATCGGTCTAATTCTACGTGAGAAGGGCTTTGAAAAACTGGAAACAAATGGATTTTAAAACATAATTTGAAAAGTCATGAGAACTCTTTAAAATCGCATTGGCTGCAAGAACTTCGTGCAAATATCTTTTATAAACATGTCTACATGGTCAAGTTTATTTTCACATAAATATTAAAAGAAACCATTGACACAAATGTGTTTCCTGTTCTGGTCCTTGTTTATGCCTCAGATGGCCTTCATCCCTCTCATTCTTCCTCTTCATCCCCATTCATCTCTTTCCCTCTTTCAATCACAGACTATCAAAATACAGCACACCCTATAGGACCCAGTCCAAACCATGGTTTGCTGAATTATGAATGCTTTTTTTTTTTCCCTCAGCATAACCAAAAAGAGCTCTTTCCTTTCTGTTTTCTCATGGCACGTTGTTTTTAGCACTTTGGTAGCTCTTAGTAATTCTGCAATATGGCCTAGTTATTCGTGAAATTTTATTTTTTTCCCCTGTGGATTGTAAACATCTAAAGAACGGGGGTGAACATAGGAATCATACTTTAATACCCAACTATTATCTGTGTCAGTGGTTCTAATAGAGAGCATTTGAAGGGCACACACCTTAACTCTTTGGAGGCTGAAAGAGTTTTTTAGGCTTGTTGGAGACCTCGCATTTCCGGGGATCCAACAGCCCCGCCCTCTTTCAAAGTTATGAGGGCGCTATTTTATTGTTGAGGTCTGCCCAGACCCTAAGGCTGGGTGCGAACGCCACGTGCCGGTGTGCGGGCGCGCGCAGGCAATCAACCCGGGCGGCTGCTTTGCGGGGAGAAAATTCATCGGCCTCCAAGCCTCTTTTCCCCAGTTCTTCACATCTCAGCTGGAGTTTTCAGTATCATTTGGTCGAAGGTGCTTCGGGGCTCCTCCGAGTGGAATGTAATGTCCTTCCCGTGCCGCGTACCAGTGAGAGGTGAGGGGGGCATTGCAGAGTGCGGGTCTTTCACCAAACACAAGAGGAGGCAGTTTCCAGGTCTCAGCCCAGCCGGGGCCGGCTCGGTGTGAGCTGAGGTTGGGGGAGCCATGTCGGCGCAAGGATGCAACAGGATTTGGGAGGCGCGGGCGAGAAAGAAAAAGGCCACCTAGCGGGCTTTGTCTCCGATTCCGGCAGGTTCTCCGGCCAGAGGTTGCAAACCTGAAGCCTGCCGAAGCATTTCCCTACATTAATTGCAAGGGGAGGGGGCGGGACTCCTGTTACCGCAGCCCGTCTCTCCCTCCCCGTAACTGCTAAATTGTAGCTTTAAAAGGAAGTGACATGGGGTGGGGAGAGACGTCAGCTGAGGACCACTTTTTTTTTTTTCTTTCCCGAAGGGTCCACCCCATGGGTGGAGTCTCGCTTTTTTCTTTCCAGTGTTGGCTGTCTTACAGCGCCTATAAACTAGTGGCAATTTCTGCGCCCCAGCCTGCTCCCTTGCAGTTTCTGATCTCTAAGTCCGTGTGTCCAGGGCTGCCAGAAAGGAGGTATCTGCGGTTCGTGCTGTTTGCAGGCGGCTTCACCTCTGGGCGTGGCGGATGTGTGCGCCCCTCTGTCTCTCCCTCGTTATTTCTCTCCTTGGCTGGATTTCCCTAAAACCTCTGGAAGGGGTAGGTAAGCGAGAGGAGGCGAGGAAGGCGGAGAAGGAAGTGAGGCGACCGCGGGAACGTGGAGGGGCTTTGCCGCCGCACAAGGACCATCTCTTTGTGCTCAGCCGGGGGGAGCGTGTCTGTGCGCCTTGGGATGCCGAGCTGCTGAGCTGGGGTTCATTTCCCCCCCACCCGCCTCCACCTCCCCGCCTCGGGTGAAAGAATTTTCTCTGCGATAGATGAAGCCGGGGCGAAGGTTCCTGTTACCGATCGGTCTCTTTCTGTGTCAGGCAGCATGTTCTTCCGTCTCTGGCGTTTCTATGGCAACCACAAAAAGACTACACCAAATGTATCCCCTCTACCCATCGTTTTATTTGTGTTTGCTCGGCGTCCGTGGCTCTCCGCGCGCGGGCTCTCGCCCGGGGCTGCTCAGAGGCAGCCTGGCTTGTGGCTACCCTTCCTCACCCCCCGTTTTGGTTTTTCCCTATCACAGGCGGGCTGGGGGAGGGGAGTTGTCAAGGAAACAGGCTTTTATACTTACGTCTTTATTTACTTAATTTTCAGCCTATGAAATTTTCCCCCTCATATCTGGGAATTAGGAAAACAGTGATTTGATGTTTATGTAAGTCTTCCGTTTCTGGTCTTTCTGGAAAACCTAAACTGTTCTCAAGACGTGATGTTAAATCCGTGATCTAACTAAAGAGGTTGGGGGTGGGTGGGTAGCACTTACTTCTTTAGAGGAGATGAGATCCTGGAGAAAAGTTTTAGAGGGTGTTTGAGAATCCACTGACAGATATGTTATTTTCTGCCCAGGTTTGCTTAAGAGTCTAAATGTTTAAAAGAGGGGGTCTTTGTTCTAGTCTGAACTTACTTAGCACACAATCTAAGTTCAACAGGTAAAGTAACAATCGGTAACTACCAGTAGGATTCTCGGTTTCTCTGGTATCCGTCTAATAGGTATCAGGGGCTGTCCCCTCCCCTTAAGGTGAGGGTCCTCTTTTTCAAAACTGGGAAAGAATGAACTCATCTGTGATTGTTAGTTAAGCATCCTCAGTTAGAAAAAAAAAGTGTCTATCATGAGATAAGGGAGGAAGTGTCTGTGGTGTGCATGTGATGTGTGTGATTGTGTGTGTGGGGGTAGTAGGGCAGGGACGTCAGGGGCAAGTCAAGCCCTACGTTAAGACTACTAAATCTGCTTAACATCCTCTATGGAGGGAAAAAGAGTTGATTTTCAAGAAAAATATAAAACAGAGAGAAAAAAGTATCATCTACCTAGTAACAGGCAAAGTTAAATATAATTAAAATCAAGTGACCCATCTTTGAACAGACAGAGTCCAAACTGGCTTATTAACAGGTAGGAGGCAAGTTTTCGTTCCGTGCATCTGAGATGTTTGATAACGGACACCATTCTTTTAAGGGGTATCCTGAATTACCAAATTAGGATTTATAGAATGGATCAACAGTAATATCACCCTTGAGTCTTAAAAGTATCTGTAGTTTTGGATAAAGATTTGTGAAAGTGGCTTAGCCCTCACGATGCCTTCCCGCTAGAAACCCAAAAGCATCACTTGGAAACCTCCCCGTACCCCCTCCCCTCCCAGGGGAAGCAGGAGGAAGGGGTAGTTTAATGAGGTTCTGCTTGCCAAGATCCTTTTCACAACATGCTCTTTTCTATGACCTATAAAACATAGGGCAAGAGGTCTTGAGTGTTACAGATACAAAAGTTATCTGAAAAATAGGATGACACAAAACTAGCAGAACTAAATAAAGAGCTGGTTTAAAGGCATAAAGCACCCAAAAGTGTCGACAAAAAATAAGATGATCATTTTGAAAAGTCCAAGTTAATATATATAAATAGTTGGAGTGTAGGTTTGCAAAGAGTGTGGGAAGCAGTCAGGCTAGGTTATTGTTTACCAGCCTGAAGATGGTCCTCACGGATCGCGGATGTAGATTGACCACATCAGATGGACCACATGAGCCTGCAGAATAGATGGACAGTGTGTAAGTCAGGTGTGATGTGGGCGCTCCTGAGCATCCAAATGTAGGAGTTTCATAGCAAAAAGCCTTGTAGGATGGGGTTCAAAGGAAAAGTAGCAAGAATTGTTTGTAATTTCAGCCAAAAAAAAAAAAGAGAGAGAGAGAAAGAAATCACTGTCCTGTAGTTGGACTGAGTAGAAGTTAAAAACTTGATTAACACTCTTGACCTGAGTAGGGTCAATGAAGGATCAGTGGTTCCATGGAGCAAACACTCTTGACCTGGGGAGGGTCAATGGAGCTATCGATGCAAAGCAAATTCTGGGTCGCCTGAAAGGCTGGATGGAGGCGATGAACTGGTGAAGCTGGAGTTATTCATTCACCACTGTTGGGATTGCATGGTCCACAAACCACCACTTCTAAGTTTGTGAAGAAAATAGAAGTGGTGGTCTATGGTCTCAAGTTTAAAATTTGCCAAACCGGTGACAACCTGCATATGTGGGCATACAGCTGGAGAGGAGGAGGCGGGGCAAGTGAGAGGTGAGATGCAGTAAGTCTGGGAAGAATATTATGAGGATGTTGACATTGAAGGTTTGAAGGAGAGGAGACAGATGGTTCTAGAGGAAGAGGCAGAGGTGTCCCAGGTAACAAGGATGGATGGTGGGCAATAGGGTTCCTCAGTCAAGGTTCTGTCCGAAGCAGGGAGAAGTCCATCTTTAGTCTGGAAATGGGCTGTGTGGAGAGAACTGGTATTAATTCAGGGACAGGATTTTGTTTAACTCAGAACAAGACTGGTACAAGAAGTGAAAAAGTGTTAGTCACTCAGTTGTGTCCAACTCTTTGCAACACTATGGACTATAACCTGCCAGACTCTTCTGTCCATGGAATTCTCCAGGCAAGAATCCTGGAGTGGGTAGCCACTCCCTTCTCCAGGGGATCTTCCTGGCCAAGAGATTGAACCTGGGTCTTCTGCATTGCAAGCAGATTCTTTATCATCTGAGTCCCTGTAAGTAGAATGAAGAATCCTTCCTAATCCAGTTATTTTTGAGTTGAAACTCCAAGAAGTGAAGGTTAGACTTAAATCAGACTTAAAAGAAGAAATTTGGGAAAGTAAGCCCCCACACACCCACAACGTTGTTCTAATAATGCTAACCGTTGCTGTTGCTTTCAGTTGTGGGGCGCTCAAATGAGCATTGGGCAGACTTACTATATTTTGTTCAGTCTGCTGTATTCTAAAAAAAAGGTCTCATGGGCATGGGAAAACATAGTTCTGAATGGTTTTGGACACCTCAATGTTCAAATGTAGTCAAGCCTGGCCTAAAAACCATCTACATCCCATAGAGTTTGAGCAACTCTGACTCAAGAATCTTCGTCCCAGGGCAGAATCCGTTTGTGAAGCTTTGTAACTTGGACATTTGGCTTCATGTAGGAACCAAGGAGGATCACTGCTAAGCCGGTGGGAAAGAGGAAGCTTAAATCATGAACTTGCTGTTTTCACAGTATTTATGTGCATTTATCATGTGTAAATAGCTTGTTGTTCAGACACTGTATCAGACTCTATGCAACTCCGCGGACTGCAGCATGCCACGCTTGCCTGTCTTTCACTATTTCCCAGAGTTTGCTCAAACTCATGTCCTTTGAGTCGGTGATGCCATCCAACCTTCTCATCCTCTGTCGTCCCCTTCTCCTCCCGCCCTCAACCTTTTCTAGCATCAGGGTCTTTTCTAATGAGTCGGCTCTTCGCATCAGGTGGCCAAAATTTTGGAGTTTCAGCGTCAACATCAGTCCTTCCGATGAACACCCAGGACTGATCTCCTTTAGGATGGAGTGGTTGGATCTCCTTGCAGTCCCAGGGACTCTCAAGAGTCTTCTCCAACACCACAGTTCAAAAGCATCAATTCTTCGGCACTCAGCTTTATTTATAGTCCAACTCTCACATCCATACATGACTACTGGAAAAACCATAGCTTTGACTAGACGGACCTTTGTTACAAAGTAATGTCTCTGCTTTTTAATATGCTGTCTAGGTTGGTCATAACTTTCCTTCTAAAGAGTAAGTGTCTTTTAACTTCGTGGTTGCTGTCACTGTCCACAGTGATTTTGGAGCCCAAGATGGTGACTGGCTGATCTCTGTTTTCTTTGAGTGCCTGAATACCTTAAAATAAGAGCAATTTTTGGTGAAAGGTATGATGAAGCAGTCTATCTAACCTGTTTTCCTTTATTTTTTAAGACTTTTCCACAAAAAATTTCTACTTGTGTTTGTTTTTGTTCCTCCAATCTCATTTGCTTTCCTTCTTCCTTTAACCTTTGGTTCTACCTTCCAGTCATCACTTATTCGTTCATATATCATCCATCCAGTTATTCACTCACTCAAAAATTATATTGGTATCATGCGTCAGATGCTGTATTTTATGGATGTGGCAATAAATAAGCAACTACTTCTTTCTTGAAGAAGCTCAGAAACTAGCAGGGGGAAAGATGGAGAAACAGTCCCTTAAACCAGGGAGTATTGGGTTTACTATTATTATTAAACCATAGTTGACTTACAATATAGTGTTAGTTTCAGGTGTACAACTTCAGATTCTTTTCCATTACGGATTGTTGTAAATTGTTGAAAACAAATCCACAGGTTATACAGCAAATCCTTACTCTTTGTCTATTTTATGGAGAGTAAGTGTATATCTATGAATCTCATGTTCTTAGTTTATCCCTTCTCTTCCCCTTTCCCTTTTGGTAGCTGTAAGTTTGTTTTCTATGCCTGCGAGTTTTGTTTCGGTTTTGTAAATAAATTTATTTGTATTATTTACTTTTTAGATTCCAGATGTAAGTGATGTCATATAATATTTGTCTTTCTCCACCTGATTTACTTCACTTGGTTTGATAATCTCTGGGTCTGTCATGTTGCTGCAAATGGCAACATTTCATTCTTTTGAATGGCTGGGTAATATTCCATTTTTCTTCCTTGATAGCTCAGTTGGTAAAGAATCTGCCTGCAATGCGGGAGACCTGGGTTCAGTCTCTGGGTTGGGAAGATCCCCTGGAGAAGGCAAA